GGTCGATTTCCAATGGTGTGTGGGGTCCTGTGTGGCGAGTAAATTTACGGGTTAGGCGACCTAGCACGTCGGGGATATGCGAATTGGTATTGTTAGGCGATTTCCAAGGGGTGTGGGGTCTCGTGCAGGCGAGTATGTCGACGGGTTAGGTGACCTAGCACGCCGTGGGTATGCGAGTTGGTATTGCCGGCTCAGGTCGATTTCCGAGGGGTGTGGGGGTCTCGTGCCGGCGACTAGCTCGACGGGTTAAGCGGTAAGTGTTGACATTTTTAGTTACAGTGTTGTGTATCCAAAAAAATGTTTAAAGTGGACATTTAAGCTCCCTGCTGAAAACTATTCATTTTCCACTCAAATAGAAAAAGCATATCCGCTGATTGCAAAAACATGATTACTAGAAATCCATGTTCGTTTCCCACTCAAACTATTCGTTTCCAGGTCTTGAACAGGACATGATTGCTAGAGAATCATCAAAAGGAAAATAGGGCATAAATTAACTGATTGTTAGAGGTTATCAGTAAACATGTTCAGAGTTCTACAGCGGGCATGCCACTCAACTACAGTGTGAACAGCATTGTAATCATCTGGAGCAAAAAGGCAAGGAAATGACAGAACATTTCATATCTACAAGCAAAATGTGTGGTTGCTGTAAACATAAAATAGGATTAGAAAATGCTGCATGATGGTTTGTTCAGAAGAGGAATAATCCCAGGATAGCATGTATCATGGGGTCAAACCTGGGACCCCTATTGTAATTTGATTTTGATTATTAATTTTTCTGTGAGCTGATGAATTACAGTGTTTGTGTTGTAATGAACACAAACTGATCACATTCCCCCCATGTGGAAACACAAAAAAAGGACCAAGTAACCTGACAGAAATTGGCCTTCTACAAAAAGGACCAAGCAACAATCCAGATTACAGTACTTAAGCTTGCCTACAAACACAGAAAAATGGACACAGAATAAACATAGATGTTGCCTACGGAAACCCTTGTCCAGGTTAACTAGTGTGTGAGTTTGCCTACATATATACAGGTTGAGTACTTGAGTTGCCTACAAACACATAAAATGGACTACGTATATTTGCCTACAGGACAAATATGCAGGCAACAGAGATGAGGTTTGCTGTAGGCAACGTAATTAGGCAACCAACACACATATGCAGGCAAACAGAGATGAGGGTTTGCTGTAGGCAACAGCTCTGACGCGATTTTGGTTTGAATCACCGACGAGGACTACGATTTCACCTCCCCGCTCGCGATTTTAGTCTCCAATTTGCTCCCCTACCCCTCTTCCCCTGGAGACGACGAGAAAAAATGGAGGAATAGCCGCCGGAAAACTGACTTGCAGTTCGTAGATGTGGCAGAGACACGCTGGTTCCCAAACCGTTTTTTTAGTTTTCTCAAAACCCCCCTGAAATTTTAGGTAATCAACCCGCCATACATATTTAAGTCATACGAATCGTTTTTTGTGTTTTAACAGAAAACCCCCTGACCTTTCGGTTAATCAATCTGCAGTTTATCTAAAACAAAATTATTCATATCTTTTAAATCGTAACTCTGATTTTAACATATTATATATGAAATTTGATTAAAAAATATGTAGAATCCAAATACGTTGTTACTTTTAGCTATTAAATATTTCTAAACTATTAATTTGGATGCAAACATAATCTATAGTGCACGGTCTGTGGTTTTTTTCCGCACTAGCGACGATCCAAATTACAAATAAACACACATTAAAATCAGATTGAGATGGAAAAAAAACATTGATAGCCACGCATGCACAACTCTGAAAAACCTTACGGGAAAAAACAACATTTTTCCATCTTATTCTCAATGATTGTGTGCGTGCGAGTGCGCGCGCGTGTGTGCGTGCGTGTGTGTGTGTGTCTGTGTGTGTGTGTTTCTGTGTATGCGTGTGAGAGAGACGTTTTAGAATTGACGATATTCAAATGCGTTTTCGTTATGTGAGCATTGAGACCACCACCGGAACACAAATGTGATGCAATTTTAAAATAAAGAACGTCTACGTATTAAGGTCTCAAGTAGTGGTTATTGGGTTAAGAGCGTGTGTGTTTTCTGTCCCGTTGCAACGCACGAGCTCTTTTGCTAGTCTAATAATAAAGCAAATTGGG